TACCGTGTAAATAGTAAAAATGTTTTTAAAAAAATGACAAGAAAAATACAATTTAAATATATATATGTGTATATATATTTATCTATTTAATTATTTATTAAAGTGATAAAAATATAAATTTATGATTCATTCACTATTTGAATTATTTGAGATGATAATATTGGAGACAAAGAGTATTTGTTCTTTTGAATGAATGTATACTTTATAGTACCTATGAAAAATTGTATTGATAGTATAAAAAATAATAATTTATGTCGAAGTATTAACTGTTTTATGAGTAGATAAAACAAAGATTAGAAACAGGGAGATTATTTATATTATGTACTTTAAAATAATATTTATAAAAATTTGTATAAAAAAAAATACTAGTTGAACAAACGCTAGTGTCGTCATTTAAAATTCCTCATAAAAAACTTATATATATATATACTCCCTCCGTCTTGTAGAAAAGTTGCCGTCTACTTTTTGCACATAGATATTTGAATATTAGTATTATATTGGGTTGTAGTTAAAAAAACAAAAATACCTTTAGGCCATCTCCAACCTGTCAACTCCATTTATCCAGTTTTAACTCTAAATATACAGTTACCACATTAATTTTACTCAAACCATAACTCCATTTGTCACTATTATTCTTCAAATATTCAAATTTCCCTATTATTTTAAACAACTTTTTATTTTTATAATTTAAAATAATTTTTTTTAAAAATTTTTAAAAAATAAAAATAAAAAATAGAGCAACGCCATTTTTTTGCGTTGCACAACGCCAAAAAGTGGCGCAAGATTTGGCATCGGTTGGAGACAATATAGTGTAAATTGGAAGGATATTTATTATGACAATATAGTGTAAATTGGAGATGCTCTTATTAATATTGTGTAATATAAAAGTAATAATATTTGTGTAATACAGTGTAAATTGGAAGGATATTTATTACGTTAGGTAAATAATACAATTACTAAATCATGAAATATTAACCTTATTTTGTGATGCACATAAATAAAAATGACAACCTTTCAACGAGACGGAGTGAAATTTTAAGCATGAATCATGCTCTCTATATTTAATGAATAAATTTCAAATTTTTTGAACCAAAATCTCCCGAACTAGATCGAGTTCAACATTAAATAAATAAATAAATAAATTGATTCGGTTTTAAATATGTAAATTGAATTCGATCGAATAGCCGCCATCGAAGTCAAATGATTTTTTTTTGACGGACTACGCTGTCAAGAAAATGAGAAGTTGATAATAAATAGGATCGAAACAGAAAATTGGTTGAGGAATAGGAAAACTCGAAGGAAGTAATTAATTAAGAGTGGCCAGCCAACTGCTGCCTGTAAGATGAAATCGAAGAACCAACTCTACAACAAGAATTTATTTTGTTTTCTCAATTTCCTCAACTAACTCATTCATAAATATTATTCACACCCATCCACAAACAACTTTATGAACAAAAACCTTCTACCAAGTTTGCTGTCATATTTTGTAGATAATAAAATTTTGATTTAAGAATGTATAATTTTTTAAATAAAAATAAGTATTTGATGTAATTTTTTATCTGAATAAGTTATTTTGTTGATGGAACAAAATGGATTTAATTTTTTTTTTTACATAAATAATAGTATTTGATATATATATATATATATACATATCTAGTGCCAAAATTTGAAATAATTTTCAACAAAGTATTTTTAATAATAGTGCCAAAATTTAAAATATATATAAATAGTCTTAGGTATGTGTTTATGATTATGTTTATTTATGTTAACGGGTGTGTTTGTCTGGGCGTTTGGATTTTAGTTGGGATTTGAATAGTAAAAATTTTATATTTGAATAGTTGTATGATGTGATATAAATAGGTGTTGATGTGATGTTTTGAATGTAAAATTAATTTTTAATATAATATAAAAAATAAAAAATAGGTGTTTGATTTGATGTTTTTGAGGAAAAAAAATTAGATAAATAGTGTAAATCCAATCCAATCCCCCAAACAAACACACCCATTATTTATTCTTTATATATATATATATATATATATCATTCTAGTTCATCGTATGGTTACATGTAGAAAGAGCAAGAATTTTTTAAAGTTATAATAATAATATTATTATTATTATGTGTTTGGATAGATAATTTAGAATTGTGATCCAAATTGAAAATATTAAAATTAAATATACTCTTAATATTACTCATTTTGTCATGTAAAATTATATCTATTTGATTTGACATGAATTTTAGAAAAAATGAAAAAGTGGTTATTTTACTGTATAAAAAGAGAAATAAAAATAAATTTAGATAACAATTCAAAAATAAAATAAAATTTATTTATATATCAAAAAAAAAATTACTATATAAATAAATATTCAATATACTATTTTGAATAAGAAGAAATAAATAAATAACTAACTTGGGTACATAACTAAATTCACAAATTTTCCTCGAAAAACACAAACAAACAAACCCAACCCTCAATTTTCTTCACGTATAAATACAAGTTATAGCCACAAAGAACAACACTCACAATCAAACACAAAAAAACCTTCGATTTCTCCTCTCCATTTCCTCATTCATAGTAAAAATGGCGTCTTTCGTTCTACTTATCGTATCCACATTCTGTTGCCTATTCCTCATTCACAAACTCTACGAACTTGTCTCTCGAAGAAAAGATCGACATTGTTATCTCTTACACTACGAGTGTCACAAGCCGTCGAACGATCGAAAAGTTAGCACGGATTTTAGCGGCGAAATCATCGCCCGAAACAAAAACCTCGGCCTCAACGAGCACAAGTTTCTCCTCCGCGCGATAGTGAATTCCGGGATAGGCGAGGAGACCTACGCCCCGAGGAACATTCTAGAAGGCCACGAGTGTTCCCCGGCTCTAAAAGACGGGATCGACGAGATGGAAGAATTTTTCATCGATACATTGACCCAACTATTCAAGAAAACCGGCGTCTCCCCGCGAGAAATCGACGTCCTCGTCGTGAACGTCGCGTTGCTCGCGTGCGTGCCCTCGTTGACATCGAGGATCGTAAATTATTTCAAGATGCGCAACGACGTGAAGTCGTTTAATCTCACGGGTATGGGGTGTAGCGGGAGCTTAATATCGCTCAATCTCGTCGAAAACATCTTCAAAACGCGTAAAAACGCGTTTGCCGTCGTCGTCACGTCCGAGTCGATCGCTCCGAATTGGTACACGGGAAATGATCGATCGATGATCCTCACGAATTGCCTCTTCCGGTCGGGGGGTTGCTCGATTCTCCTAACGAACAACAACGATTACAAGCGCATCGCCAAATTGAGACTCGAGTGCCTCGTGCGCACGCACATAGGCGCGAGCGACGAAGCGCACAACGCGTGCTTACAAAAAGAAGACGACGAAGGAAAGCTCGGGTTTTTCCTCAGCAAAAATCTTCCGAAAACGGCGACAAAAGCGTTCACCAAGAACATCGCGAGCCTCGCAACAAGAGTGCTCCCGATAAAAGAGCTCGTTCGATACGTCGCGATTAAGTACGTCGGGGCGAAATCGACGTCCCTAAATCTAAAGACCGGGATCGATCACTTTTGCCTCCACCCGGGAGGGACGGCGGTGATCGAGGAGGTGCGGAAGAGCTTAGGGCTAAGCGATTACGACGTGGAACCGTCGAGAATGACGCTTCATCGATTCGGGAATACGTCGGCGAGTAGCTTGTGGTATGTTTTAGGGTATATGGAGGCCAAGAAGAGGTTGAAGAAAGGTGAGAAAGTATGGATGATAAGCTTTGGATCAGGTTTCAAATGTAATAGTTGTGTTTGGGAAGTTGTTAAGGATTTGGAAGATGGGAATGTGTGGGAAGAATCCATCAATGGCTACCCTACTAAGAACACTTCAAATCCTTACATGGAGAAGTATGGATGGATCAATGATTGATGTCTTGGAACCACCTCAAGGTTTCATGTTGGATTGACGATGATTTCTTGTTGAAAAAAAATAATGTTGTAGTATGATTTTATTTTATTTTTTTTTTGTGTTGTAGTCGATATCTAATGTTCAAACTCGATTCGAATGTATTGTTAGTGTATATTCGATTCGGTTTATTTAGGATTCAAGTTAAAATAAAAGTTCAAGTTCGCCTTAAAACTCGCAGCCGTTACCGAGGGGTTTGAACCCATGAGCATGAGCTCACAGTCACAAGTCTAACCCGTATACGACCATACGCGACTTTGTTCTAATTTAATCATACGAACTAAAAATACTACACAAAGGAACCCCAAAGTCAAAGCAAATTTTAGGTTTGTTTGGTTTACGATTTTTGACTTAATTTTAATTTAAATTTTTCATCTTAATTTTAATTTAAATAATATTTTATATGAAATTAATAATATTTTCTCCTTCCACGCAATATTTAGTTTTCGATTGTGAAATTTTAGATTGACTGATTAGATAAAATAAATTTGAGAATTAGATAAAGTAACAAGAAAAAAAAAAAGAATATATTTATTTGACCGATGTGATGATATAAAGTGTAATTAATTACAAATATTAATTTACATGGGACATATCAAAATAGGAATAATTGTAAAATACTTGACAATATATTTTTATGTAAAATCATAAATAATACTTCTTTCATTCAATATAAAATGTTCACTTTTTCTTTTTATATCAGTTGTTGTATAGTAATTTATCATTTTTGTTCTTAAAGTGATTATATACTTTAATTATATTTTAAATTGTATAATTTATAATTATTTTTATTAATACATTTTAAATTACTTATTTGGTTATATTTTTCTTTTTATTCTTGTAGTGTCAATAGTAAAATGGACAAATTTTTTGGATTGGAGAGAGTAAAAATTGTAATTTCCAATTGAAACCAAACCTTTTATTGCAAAATTTCTAATAAACCCAAATCAATTTTGGATTAATTATTGAAATTTACTGTTCGAAGGTCCAAATCTAAACGATGAACTGAAAGCCCAAATGAAAGCCCAATCCAATTTGTTCAAGTGAAACGTAAATCTTCACAAAACCCCTAACCTCTCTCTATCTGCTCCGCTGCGATTCCCCTTTTCTGCGATTGCCTTTGCCTGCTCGCCGGAGGAAACTGAGGGATTATGTCCACTGCAGCGCAAGCTTTCAACGGAAATCTCAAGGTATGAATCAGCTCCAGTGATTCTTGTCTTCCTTTTCTAACCTAATTTGAGGTATTTCTGAGATTTATTGAAATTCTGTGACCTACTTACTGTTAAAAGTGATTTCACGGTCGTTTTCGGAGAGTATCGAAAGATTCGTCTGTGATAAGTGTTTTATGGAGATAAATTTGCTCCTTGAAACGGAGAAATCAGTAGTATTCACCAATCGCCACATTGTTTTAGATTGCGATTTTGGGAAGGAATTTTTGAGCTTGCGAAGAAACTAATTAAATTCGGAAGTACATTTTGTTCATTTATACGATGTATGAAATGAAATTCATCGCTGCTAATGTCAACACGGTTAGTGATTTCACAGAAAGCACTTGCTGGATTGAAGCGAATCAATTTGGAAGGGCTGAGATGGAGAGTTTTTGATGCGAAAGGACAGGTTCATATACATCTTTAGATTCCTAGAGCTTGCCATGAAATTATTTGGTTGTGCTTTTGGTGTTTTGTTCTTTTGAATTACTTGGTGCTTGTTTAGAAGAAAAACAAAAGATGGCATTGGATGTGATTATATTGACAATAGTGGGAATGTAGTAATATATTATAATCTTTATCGGTTTAAATTTTACAATTTAGTAGAAGTATTATAATATTTATGTGGTAAAATGTAGGGTGAGGTATGAACAATTGTATAGATAATATAAAAATAAAGAGTGTGTGTAATATATTAAATTTTTTTTTTTTGGAAAAATGTGTTAAAATTTTTGTTGGAACAACAAAGCCGTAGATTTTATACTATTATAGTATAATATACTCCAACTACTTCTAGCTCTAAGAAGGGAAATAAGTGTGAGGTTATAGTTCAAACCCCACTTCTCTGGGTCTTGTCTGGAGGGCTCTCAAAGAGTATAAAATGTAGATTTTATTAGATTCTAAACTTGATTAACTTTGATTATCTAAGTAATTGTGATCTAATTGTTTTAGCCGATATAATTAGCTATGAATTATGATTGTATATCTTTTACAACTTTATTGGTTTGAGTGATAATCATAAAATTAATCTATAGATATTTCTTATGTATCTTTATTGTAAATTTTTATATATAATACTCCTTCCTTCACACTCCATATGGGCCTTTTGGTTTATAGTAGATTAAGAAATAATAGTATTTTATTGGTTCGTGGAAGTATGTAAGAGGTTTTGACATTTATATTCTTTGACTTTATATATGAAGTAATTGTATGTGTAATGATATATTTGTAATTTAAGTAAAAGTGAAAGGTATTTTAGTAGTAGTGTATAATTATTTTTACTAAAATAGAAAAGTGATACTTTGGAGTGAGACGGATGAAAATGGTAAAAAAGATACTTTGAGTTGGGACTTAGGGAACAATCCTTATATGTATAATTACTCCAAAGTAATACTTTGGAGTGACACGGATAAAAATGGTAAAAATGATACTTTGAGTTGGAACGTAGGAAACAATCCTTATATATATATTCTTAAATGTTTAAATAGGGTCATTTTGCTATCCGTTACTCAGCTATAGCATTTCAAGGAACTCTATCTAAGATTGAAAACTATTGATGTGATACTTTTTGAATCAAAATTAGGTTTTTGATGTAATGTTCTATATATGATGAATATAGAAGAAAACCGTTTGAAAATGCAACCAAACAAACCCTACCCGCAAAGCGCTTATAATTTATTATATTATCTTCTGTTATAGGTTTTAGGAAGGCTAGCATCGCATATATCGACCGTGGTTCAGGGCAAGGACAAGCCGACATATAGACCCTATCTGGATGAAGGAGATATGTGCGTCGTTATAAATGCCAAAGATGTATGCGTCACCGGGAGGAAAATGACCGATAAGTTTTACCGCTGGCACACAGGGCAAGTACTTCTTGACTATGATTTACTTTTGCTTTAATCGGTGGCATATTTTCAACGGTACTTCTTCATTATATTCTTTCTTTCGAATTTGAGCTTCTGTGATTTATGGAATCCGAGTAAAGTCGATGTAGCCGTATGGTGAAATTTCACAACTTTTTGGCGAATAGGTACATTGGCCACCTCAAGGAAAGGAGTTTAAAGGATCAGATGGCGAAGGATCCCACGGAAGTTATTCGAAAAGCTGTTCTACGAATGCTTCCAAGAAACAAATTGCGCGACGTGGGTCTTTTTCGATTGATATAATTTTTTATTATCCGTTGAATTCAACCGATTGTGCTAAAATTTTATGGGCGTTTGTGCGCGCAGGATAGAGACCGGAAGTTGAGAATATTTGCAGGCGACGAGCATCCTTTTGGAGATAGATTACTCGAACATTATGTAATGCCTCCAAGAAAAGTCCGCGAAATGCGGCCTCGCGCTAGGCGAGCTATGATTCGTGCTCAGAAGAAAGCCGAACAAGAACAAGAGAAGGATGGCGCGAATTCGAACAAAGGGCAAAAATGGAAAGAAGCGGAACTAGTCGACGCTTAAAGGTAAGAACTTTATAGGTGCGTTTCTTTCGAGTTTCTACTCAGGTTTTTACTATTTGAATATGCTTTTGAAGTTTAGATCTAGACTGTTTCAAAAAAAAAAAAAAAAAAAAATTACGTATGCGCGCCCCGAATTTACTACAAGAACATCGGTTCGGGTATGGTGTCGAATTTAATAGCCATGAAAATTGTTAATTTTTGGGGGCCGATCATAAAACATTGTTGCGAAACTTAAAAAAGTTGCTCTATTAAGGCTTTTAAAAGTTATATGCTTTCAATATATTTTATTTATTTATTAGTATTTAAGTGATATGATGAGAAAAAAATTATATATTTATTTGAATGATTAGTGAGATAGAGTGTGATTTATGAATTAAATATATTTAATTATTTTTTATTTTAGAAATATTGCATGCTGAATGGATAAGTTAAAAAAATGTTAAAAATATATATATATATATATATATTGAAGAAAATTTGGAACGAATGAAGCAAATTGTATTATTAATTGTGTTTTTGTGGATTTTGACCCTGTTATTAATATTATTTTTTAAAAAAAATATATCAAATATTAATTTTATGAAAAAGAATATATCAAATATTTATTTTTTTCTCATATATACTATATTAAATTTAGATTTTTATTATTTCTAACATTTTCAAAATTTTAAAATTAAGCTTAAAAGTTAAAAATTTTGACATTATTGTTTATTAATAGTATAAAAAAATATAATATTTACGGCACACTCATACAATATTTATAGTATATACGCACTTATAAAAAAAAAATCAATAATTTAAGTGCAAAGGATTTGCTCTTTCAATATATTTTTACGATATAATTTTTTATAAATATTATAAAAATACAATATATACTCATATTAAAATAATATATATAATACATATAATTTATTCACTCACAATCAATCTAATAATTTAATGTAAAATATTAATTTTTTATATTATTGATATAATTTTTTATATGATAGCAAAAAAAATTATGTCAAATATTTCAAATTAAAAATATTAAACAAACCAACAATGAAACAAATATCTTTAATTTTTATTTAAATTACAAACATATAATTACATGTACAATTATTTTATACTCTTTCCGTCCAGTTGGAAATCATACATATTTTTATTTTGAGACGTTCAATTTCAAAGTAAACATTTCATTAGATATCCTATTTTTTTCACAAATGCCATTACTTTATATCACATCATTACTTTTACATCAAAAAAAGCAAAGGGTAAAAATATCATTACACCATTTTTAACTACCTACTATAATTAAAATATTATTATTTCTTAAACGCCGTGTCAAAAATAAATGTTTACTTTCTATGTGGACGGTGGAAATATATAAAATCGAATGGCGAAATATTATTTTATACAATTATTTTTTTGCGATACAATTTTCTATAAATATAATAAAAATACAATATATATTCCTCCATCCCATAACTAAATATTCATTTTTTTTTACACTTAATTTTAGAAATATTAGTATTATATTTGGATATAGTAGAAATGATTAAAATAATTTTATTAGTATGTGTGATATAAAGGTAATGATATTTGTTTAAAATGAAAAAATTGATATTTTGTTATGAGACGGAGGGAGTGTTTATATTAAAATAATATATATAATACATATAATTTATTCACTCACAACCAATCTAATAATTTAATACAAAATATTAAATTTTTATATTATTGACACAATTTTTTATAGTAACTTTAAAGAAAAATTATGTCAAAATATTTCAAATTAAAAATGCCAAAAAAAACCAACAATGAAACAAATATTTTTAATTTTTATTTAAATTATAAATATATAATTACATATACTATTATTTTATACATAAAATTAAATGACGAAAAATATTAAATTTTTTTACATATTTTCATTAATCAACAAAATATTATTATTTTTTAATCTACTGCAAAAATCATCGAGGATACTTCCGGTCGGGTTAGAGAGAGTAATATTCTTTAGTGAGGTAAAAATAATTTGTTTGGGCTCAATCACATCAATTAAAAAAAAATAAATATTTTATTAAAAAAAAAGAATAAAAGTTGAAAATATTTTTGAATTTGTATTTAATACTCTCTCCGTCTTAGATACTATGTCCACGTTGCTGTTTTGTCTGTCCCATATATCATGTCACTTTCATTTTTTGAAAAATGATTACACACTTTAATCTCATTTTAAATTTTTTAATTTTATTTTTTTAAATATTAATTAAACTAATTAATTATTTTAATTTTAATTTATAATTATTTATATTATAGGATAATTATTTTCATTAATACATTCTTAATTATCATCTACTAATTACAGCCCTCCTAAATTACGGTGTCTACAATGTAACAGATACGATATCTGGAACGAATGGAGTAATTAATAATGATGAAAGACAGAGAATATAATAAATACAGTGATAATGATATATAGAAAAGTTAATAAAGAATAATAATTTAATATTTAAAATCTGAATTTATGAAAATTAATAATGGAGAAACTAGTTTGAAAGTGTGAAGGAAACAATGTATAGTGGCAAGCATATGATTGGGATTGGGTGGAACCGTACTCTACAGTGATGGCCGGTGCGGTTCTGTGCAGTGCGCTGCTTTTTTTTGCTCTCAATACCTCCTCCATTCTCTTAATATTTTGTAGGGTTGGCAAAATTAAACATAACTCGAAAATTCGGACTTTGTTTACGCAATATATTTTTACTTATTTGGTACTATTTAATTTTTTTTAAAATATCACATTAAATATTTTTTTCTATAAAATATTAAATCAAATATTAATTTTTTATTTTTTCAAATTTCCAAAAACTTCTAAAAATTTTTATCTAAATAAACCCCGAATCTTTTGACTAGAAAATGTTTTAAGTTTGGGTTTGGGTGTTTGCAAAAAAAATCAAGTCGATTCGAACTTGAAACAAAAAAAAATTGTGTCATGCTTGAGTCGAATTTTAGATTTATCTAATAACCCGAAATATAAAAATTAGGTTCGGATTTTGGGTTGACCTGAAATTATTTATTATTATTATTATTATTATTATTATTATTATTATTATTATTATTATTATTATTATTATTATTCATATTTATATTATATTACATATAAAAAAATTAAATTAAAAATGGATCCTTTAGATAGATTTATATTTTCTTTAAATTTTCGGGTCTGTTTCATATTCGTGTTCCCGTCGAGTTTATTCGGGTTTCGAGTGACCTGAACCCGACCTGAAAAATTTTGTATCATGTTCGGGTCGAATTTCGGATTCGTGTTAAAAGTTCTTTTGTTACACTTATGGCTCAACTCGACACGAACACGACCCGAAAATACGAATTCATAAATCCTCCTTCTTTGTTCGGACAAATGATCCCATTTTTTTAAGTCCATCTTAAAATAGATGATTTATGTTTTATTTTTAATAAATTTATCAATTCTAAATATATTTAACGAATATAAATTAATTTAATTAAATTTGTAATATATTATATGTAGAACGTAACTCTCAAAATCTTTTTATTCTTATATTTCTCAAAAAATAAATATTTTTTTATCTATAAAAATCTTCTTTTTTTTATAAAAGTAATTTATTAATTCATATATTAATAAATATATACTTCATCCGTCCACATAACATTAAAAATATTTTTATATTTATAAATTTTATTATATTAATATTATAATACACTAATAAAAATATTTTTATCATTTTTCTTGATTTGATATAATAATTTATATTTAAAAATTAACACGTAAAAAATAAATATATTCTTCTATGAGGACAGATGGAGTATTTTTTTATTTATTTATTTGTGTGATATAAAATTTTATTTTTACAAAATAATATCTTGTATTTATTTTATTAAGAAATCTTAAAAATATTTAAATACATATTTTAATTTTTTAATCAAATATTTTAATTCGTATTTTAAAAGTGTCAAACATATCACTCATATAAAAAAAATAATAAAATAATATCAATTACTCTAATTTGCTTTTTTATAAGTAAAAAATAATACTTTTGTCCACCGCCAACCTATTCATTTTATCATTTTAGTCTGTCCTTCGCAAATATATTCATTTCTTTTTTTTTTTTTGTAAATGTACTTTTCACTAAAATATAAAATTACCCCGCCTTTTATATAATATTACATAAATGTCATCAAATAACACCATTTAATACCATAAATGTTAAGGGATATAATAGTTTTTATATATATCAATTATACCACATATCAATATAATATTAGTATACTAAAATTTATGTGCTAAAAATAAACGGATAGATAAGTTGTGGCCGGAGGGAGTACATTTATATTAAGAAGTATGTGGGCTCAATAATAAAAATAAATTAGGATATATATATATATTTAAATAGATATTTTTAATAAATTTTGACACTATTTTTTTCTTTTTTAAAAGAAAAAATGTACTCATCTCGGATGAATGTATTTATTGGGGGTTGATGAAGAGATAATGACATTTTTGTAATTTAATTTTATGTATAAAGTAATGATATATTTGTATGTTTGATGATATATTATTAATTTAATTAAAAATTAATAGTATTCTGTTATTAGTGTATGATTATTGTTATTGAAATATGAAATAGATATTTTTGAATGAGACATACAAAAATTATAAAAATAGTATTTTGAATTGGAATAGAAAAAATATTAAATATTTTTTTTACAAAAAATTATATTTCCTCTATCCCTTAACAATCTATCCATTTTTTCATTTTGGTCCGTCCCATAACAAAATATCCATTTCATTTTTTTTAGTAATTGTACTGTCTACTTAACATTAATAATACCCTTTCAATTTATAATACTCTATTACACAAATATCATTATCTTTATACTCCATCCCTCCCAATACAATAGTATTGTTTACTATTTTTGTCCCTTTCAAAACAATACTCTCATTTCTATAAATAATTATATCACTATAAAACTACTTTTATTTTTTTTATTATTATTACACAATTGTATTACTTTTTACACCAATACACTCACAATGGCAAAGAAGTCTTTTACCCGTACTTTTTATCTACTACCAATATAATATCAATATTTCTTAAATCTCGTGTCAAATACAACCCAAATTATAGTTTTGGGACGGAGGGAGTATCATATAATACTAATAAGATTAGTTTTGTCATTTTATTTTTATTTATACTGCATCCAAATATAATACTAATATTTTTAAAACTACATGCAAAAAGTAAATTGAT